CCCCACCCTGGCCCCCTCCGTCATCGTCGTCCCCGGCTTCGTTCTCCCCTCTCCCTTTCTCCTCGTTCTCCTCGTCGTCGTCCTCCTCATCAGCATCAGCATAAGCATTATAATCCTCATAATTGTAGAAAATTCAGCGAGAATGAGGTAATTAATTACAAAATGCTCGTTTTAATATGAATTTCCTTTTGTAAAAATATTCGGGTTTTCAAGCTTTATGAGGAAGCTATCCTCCTCCTCCTCCTCCAACTTCCTCCTCCTCCCCCCCCCTACTCATCATCATCACTGTTGTTGTAAGCACGCATAGAAAAACAATTTTAAAAAGTAGATGGTAACTTGATCATCAGTATCATCACCAGCGACAGCAGCAGTACCAATATCACTACCACCACCACCACCACTACCACCACTGTTTCTCTCTTTTCCCCAGTAAGACAGTGATTGTTGGTTGTATGTTCGACCTCACAACCATCGCAGTGGCCCGCTACATATACATCTGCAGACCTCGGCTTCGAGACCGCCTCTTCAGCTCCAGGTTGTGTTTGGTCTGTATAACAATCATCAACTGGCTTATAGGTAGGCCTAATATTTCGCTACCTTAAAATTACAAAGTTCTATCTGACATTTTTGACGTTTGAGTTACAAAGACCACGAGGTCAGAAACCGAATGCTCTATCTGCTCTATCGCAATCGTAAAATAATTCGGTGCTGTTTTCAAGATATAAAAAGAATAACATTTGTAAACGTTTGACATGTTGTGAAACTCACAATTTTCCACAAAATTAATCAAAACTAGGTACTGAGCAGATAGAATTTTGTAATTCTAGGATAGCGATTTGTCTCCGATCTTTTGCTTTGCCTTTTTCAAAAAGTTCTACCCATGTACTCAAATCTCAACGATCAGTGTGGTTGGTTGGCATGTGCTCGGGTGTGGTTTGCTCATCCTTTCCTCTCTAACACATCTATCGCTCTTCTTTTCTTTGAATGTTGCTCTCTTGGAACAAGTCTTATCTTCGGCATTTATGCGACCTATTTGTGTTGCAAGTATCATGACAAGTCTGACTAAAAATTAACTCAAATCTCAACTTAGAAATTGAAGAAAACGTACTCAATGAATAGGCTTTTGCAAGGCAGATCTCCAACAATTAAGAGCTATAAACTGCAACAATGTCCCCTAAAAATTTCTGACAGGGAATTATTCATATTCTAAGAACATGCAATGGGGAGTGTTCCTCACCATGTTACAGACCACCATTTCCTATACGCAATGAAAGCAACCTTGAGAAAACAGTCTTTTTTCAAATAATCTTATGAACAAAGCTATACTGCTACTTTTTTGTTGTTGTATCTGGTTTTTAAAAAGCACATGTACGTCACGATTGTTCAACAATTTTCCGTTGTAGTTTTCGCTTCTTTATTCAAACGCCTTTTATTCTAAAATACAAATAAAATCACTGTATGTATAATTTCCCATTTATTAACATGTACGTAATATTTGTATTGATTTTTAAAAAGTACACAAGTTAAAACATGAATATGATGATTATTCAACAATTTTTCGTTGAAAGTATAATTTCCCATTTATTAGCAAGTGCATATTTCTATTGATTGAAATTAGAATGGACCTCCGAAAAATTATTCTCAGACCATCAAAATGCGAAACTCTTTCATGAACAACATTCCACTTGTTTCATTTCGTCTATCTTCTTAAACCATAGATGCCTTGGATACCAGTCCCCCTCGATATATTACCCGGAAAACAGATAGGACCGTGGTCTCATTTTCTGGCCGTATTCGTGCTAGAGATTTAAATTTTGAATACCCAAGAACTGTTGTTTTCCGTGTATCAGAAGGTCTTTCAATTCAGAAATTACGGTGGTCATTAGATGATAGCAAAATTGTTCCTAAGTACGCGTACAACAGGTACTAGATACCTATAGTTCTTTTCATCCCCACCCCCTTTTTATTTACACCCGGCGCTCTTCATTTGTGGGGTATATGAAGTTATGGGAATAATCCTAAAGCCTGTTCATTTGCATTGCTTTTGATGGAAAAAAGTATCCTTTTATCCTTGATAAAAGTCGAGATATTTGCGACTGAAGGGGGCAGAGTGTCTCGAGAAAATGGCTACCAAAGTTTGGTGACTTCCAAAGCCTGTGTGTCTTGGAAACTGAAAATTCATATTTTTGTGCCTTTGATTAACGTTTGTGGAGTAAAAATCAACACGTGAATGTGTTTTTAAATGGACATAAACGATGTTGAGACCAAAATTAAGTTAAACAAAAATAAAAAAAATCGGTGAGAATTCCCTAAATGTGGGAAATGTCGATTTCCTCGATTTCATAAGTTTGACGAGCGCCTGATTTCACCACGATGCCACACAATTATTATAACATACCGTCGGTGTTTGTCTTTGACTATGTATCCGCCAAAATGTTCGGGTGGTTGGAGGGTGCCACTGGTGGGTCCCGTGTCTTTACTTTCCATCTGTTGTCTCTCTGTCTGTCTTAATTTACTAATAAATTTTTCCTAGCATTAAATGATTATTATTTTGTCGAGGTGGTTGGTTCTCTTCACTCAAACGAAACAAAGCCAAATTAAGTCAAAACATTTTTTTTTCTTAGGAAAATGTAATCTGTTTCTTATTATCTTTCAGAATGGCTCAAAGTTTTGAGGTTTTTGTTGTTGTTGTAATCATTGTTTTTTTTACTTTGTTTTTAATTTTTATTGATTACAGTAGATTCTATCACCAACGCTTTAAATTACGTTTATGGACAAAGGATAAAATATAATTTGAGGGAAAAAAGTGTCTGGGCTAATAAGGCGGATACAAGCTTCAAGTCCGGCACCGGCAATTCACATAGCAATACTACCAGAAAGGCTATCATCAGTATGACATCTTTGTTTTGAACATTCATTCTCGTTTACATCCTCTCCTTCAACTGAACCCGCCCTCACCCCTTCCCCCAATTCCACAATTTTCCCCCTTCCCAGGTCTGATGTTCGGTATCCCAATCCTGCTCCGAACGCCAGCGTTCCATCCGGTGTTCCGACAGTGTATGATCGGGTCCAACCAGCACCAACGCACATTTTTCCAGGTCGCATGTGTGGGCGTGCCACTTCTCCTTATTTCTATTTTCTGCTATACTAAGATTTTTCTAAAAGTTGGAGAAAGTAAAATGAATTTGGCTCGTCATCAGGACACCACAAACGAGCAGCAGCAGCAGACTGCTGAAGAAGGAGGAACGGGGTCGACTTCACAAAAAAAGGACACCGAAGTCGAGCACGTTGCTAGTGGCCTCGAGGAGGAGTTTGGAAACATTCCCAGTAGTGGCGCTGCAGGTGACAATAAAGGCAAGCACAATGCAGTTACAGCGGTTAAGGAATTTGCAACTTCCCTGAGAAAACAGCTAAAAAAGAAAGTGGACATAATTTTCGACCAGAGTCAACTCAACAAGATAAGATGCGAATTTTGTGTATTCACGTTTTTCTTTATCTTCACCACGCCTTACGTCATCGCCCGAGCTATTGAGTCTACGGAATCCCATTTTATGACAATTCAGATTTCCACGCTGTTCCTCGTCTTCTTCAATAACTTTTTCAACAGCATAATCTTTGGTGTAAAAAATCGACAAATCAGCAGTGCTATAGTGGGCCTAACAGGCTGGAATCGATGGAGGGCGAAACGAGTAGACGTGTCGGACGTAACTACAAGTTAGGACCAAAAATAAAAATGTCAATAGCTTTGAGAGCAATGTACTAAACAGTTTTGTATCCTGATAACTGGTGTCTGTGGTGTATAATAATAAAAAACAGCTTGTCCATCAATATCTGACGATGACCAATACAGCGGTAGAGCATGATAATAAATATTTCTCCAACGAAATAGAAAAATTTGAAGAACAATTAAAAGGTTAGGATGACTTGTGGCCTCTGCTCCGTCTGATAAGATCAATTCTGGCAGAGAAAAGTTTGTCACGTTTTGGACATTGAAAAGCTCCACTTCCACTCCTGGGTGTGCGCAGCTTGCGGGCTTCTCTCTTGGTTTCAGAATTTTGTTTTTCGTGAAGCCCAAGGACCTTACTGTATAACCTCTTTGGTGAAGCCTCGTTTAATTTGCTGCCCACTGCGACTAACTGCTCTCCAGCCTGTGACGTAATGACGAGGCCTTCTGTCATCACACGCACAGACATGAGTGTGATTTCAATGCGGGGAAGTCTTACAATTTTATCAAGGTCTTCTGCCTTCCTGTTGGGACACTGTGCCCCTCTCTATCCGTGGTCGGGGCTGACATGTCTAAATTGCGCCAAAAGGGCCAAAAACATGTACATTCACCCCCAACAGTTAATTCAATAGATTAATGTTTCCGGCTACGTCTGATAGATACATGGCAGGCCATCAAAAGGAACGCTTACTATCTTCAGCAAGGAAATTCTGTAACAAAGCAAATATCCCAGCTATGTGGACAACATATTTAATTAGTGGGGTAAGAGCAAGAATTCTCTGCTTCCCCCGAAAACATGCTGCTTTTGCAAAGTATAATTTGCCTTCTCCCTCTCTCCCACTCGCTCGCTCGCTTGCTCATTTGCTCACTCAACCAATGGCTGAGGAAAATGTTATGTGCTCTGCTAAACGATATTATTGTAAGTTATGACAAAAACAGCAGAAGCAAATTAATGCCGTCGACATTCTATTTCTGCCCCCATAGCAGCGCGGCTGTGGTTGTCAGATAGTGGCAGGAGTGATAAGAGGACAAACTTAGAACACAGAAGACATTGCGTCTCTTCCACAATCATGATACAGACTGTGATAACGGTGCACGAATTTGTAGAATGCAGAAGACGTTTTACTCAACTACTGTTCTAATTGTTTCTTTATTTTAAAGAACACAATAACGTTTCATCACAAGCAAAGAGATTAGGATCACAAGAAAAAAAGGTCAGCTGTGGCTATTATTGTCCTGTTGTCAATACGTTACAAGCTTTAAGACGGTGAAGCACCGTTAGACGTTGTAGTATTGATTTTGACTTTTAAATTGAATTTGCTTCCTCCCTGGGTGTAAATTGTCAACGTTGTTTTGCTCCAATAACATGTTTTAGCGTGTCATTAAGTGTTTTTAGAAGGAACCCCAACTTTTTTCCTATAGTTATCCAACTGATTTAAGTACCCAGCTAATATATTTCCATGTTCGAAAGACGAACTAATATAATTACGAT